CTGTGGGCTGGGCTCCTCCGTGTGCCCAGCTGGCACTGCTGGGGGTGGCAGGGCCAGGAGGAGCCCCAGACTCCCCTGCTCTTGCCTCCTGCTTAGCCCCTGGCTAGGGCCACAGCGATGCTCCCTGTGACATGGGGTGAAAGCCGGGTCTGGACCCCGAGACTCTCAGAAATCCATCCTGGCTGGCATTGACTGCGCTGGCCACTGCAGGGACAGGTGGGGACAGGCAGCGGTTTTAGGGCTCCTGGCACCATCGCTGGCACCACCAGGAGCAGAGGGCAGGGCTGTGGTGGCCATGGGACTGGACACATGCTGACCATGGGGATTTTCCAGGGACTGGCAGGGAATGGCTCAGCCTTTCCTTCCCTGAAACAGAGCTCCTGGCAAAGCTGGGGACTTTCCAAAGCGTTTTGTTGCCTGTGGGTTTCCCTCCTGGTTGCTGGAGTGAGCGGAAGCGAGTGCACAGACAGCAAAGGGCTGGGCAGCCGAGGCCAGCCCCACACCCTTCCTGCCCCTGCAGGGTGGCACGGGCAACAGCAGGACATGGGACAAGGCAAGGTTCAGGAGAAGGTGGTTGGGCTCAGGCAGAGCAAAGGGTTTGCCATGATCGTGTCCGGGAAGGGCCACGATAGGCTTTGGGCATCAGCCCCTTCCTGTGGCTCCCAGGAGGCCAAGCTGGGATGTGTCTGTCTGTCTGTCCCTACTGAGTGTTCATGGTGTCTGGAGCTCTTCTTCACCCAGGGCACTGGCACCTGCGTCCCTGGTGCCACCAGGAGTGTCACTGGGCTGAGAGGGAGGGAAGGCTCCCAGCCCATGGGTGCTGTAGCCATCCTGGTCCGTGGGTGCCGCTCTTGGTCCCAGCGGCAGCCCTGCCTGCGTGTGCTTTCCCACCCTGCTGCTGGTGACCCCGCTCTCTTGTGCCCCCCAGGGAGGCCCTCCAGGTCACACTCAACGATGTCCCTGTCTGTGCGCCCGCAGCGCCGAGTCCTCGTCACCAAGATCAATAGGAGCCAGTCCTTCGCTGGAGTGAACTCAACGGCCGACCGGCCCTTCAGGTAGGAGATGGGTGCTGGTGCTGCCTGCCACGAAGGACAGGGATGGGGATGGGGAAAGGCTTGGATGTGGTGATGTGACCTGCTGTGCATCCTGAGGCGCCTTCCCGACCTGCTGCCTGGCATCTCCCACAGGGACCTTTGTGGTACCCAGGGGATGTTGCACGGGGGGCTGCAGGGAGCATCGAGGCCACGTGAGAGACCGAGCCCATCACCCCAACCCTGCTGCCACCAGAACATGGAGGTGTATTTCACCTTCAGCCAGCTCCTAAGGGCTTCCCTGTGACCATCTTATCATGTTTAATGGGTGCGGTGAAGGAGCTAGGGTGGTTTTGAAGCATTGTATCTTGACGCCCTTGACATCCTGAGGCAGCTGGTTTGGGGGTTTGAGTGTTGGTGTGAATCAGGGTTTCCTCCGGGTCATTTCAAACCTGTTGCTGAAAGGTCTTAGTGGCTGCCCATCAGCTGCTTTGTGAGGAGCAGCCATTCCCTACTCATCCTCTCTGGCC